TTTTATTTAAAGTTCCTAAACTATGGTTAATTTGTGTTAGGGACTAAAACTAGGTTGTAATGTTGTGTTTGGGTTAAGGTGGGATCCTCATACCTCAAAGCACTCCCTAAAACCCGTAACCTTTCCTTCTCTCTCTTCTTCTTCCATTTCAGATCTCTCTCTCTCTCACCCTCTCGAACACACGGCAACCACCAAGACCACCACAAAAACACCCTAAACTTCCACCAACGACGGATTTAAGAGTGCCATCGTACTCCTGAAGACCATACGATCACGATGATACCCATTTCAAGTAAGTTTTCACTTCGAAAACCCTAGTTTCTAAAGTTACCGTGAATGTGTACTGTTCATGAGCTTTGAATTGGTTGTGTTTTAGGCCAAACCAAGCTCATAGTGAGCTTTAGGAAGTCCCAAGGAAGCTCGGAGTGCTTCGTTGGAAGTTTTTGGACGTAAAAACACGGAGATCGACAAGTTCAAAGTTTGGCCGGAGCTTTCGAGGCATTTTTCCGGCGAATCCCCGGCGATTTAGGAGTTGAGTTGAGGTAGGTATCAATCTCTTCGTCTCGTCAAGTACTACAACTTTCCTTTTTGTTTCACTCAATTTCGTTGAGTATTGAAGAAGTTATACTCATTTGAAAAATACCCAGTTTCCGGCGACCTCCGAGGCTTTCGAGGCAGTTTCCGGCCAAACCACGGCGAACTAGGTGTTGTGCAAGGTACCATTCTCTTTGTCTCTTCAAGGGCTACAACTTTCGTTTTTGAATCACTTGATTTCGTTGAGAAATGACAAAGTTATGGCAATTTGAAAAACTGCCCGGAAAACGGCCGCCGGAAAAACCAGTCCGGCGACCCAAGGAAGAAGAAGGTGCTACAGTAAAAATAAAAAAATAAAAATAAAATTATTTTAAAAATATGTCGACGTCCGTGACGTCGAGTAGATCACTGTGGTATATTCATATACCTAAATTGAACACCGTATGAGAAAGTTATTGAAGATTGTTGGTTAGGTGTTCAAATAACGTTTTATAGTTTTTCACATTTAGGTGAAAATGTGAATTGATGATCTGACCGTTGGATCATCACCAAACTTTGATACGTTATAATACGTAATATTTGAGGATTATTGGAACTTACGGATTGGGAATCCGAGTTACGGATCTTCCGGAATTGGAATTGTAAGTCCATAATATAAAATGTTAACCGTCACTTAGTTTTGGAAATTGACGGAGATCCGACCGTTGGATGGTAATGAAATTTTAGGATGTTGTCCTAGAGGTATAATGTGGACCTCTGGAAGTTATGGATTTAAAATCTGAGGGGTGGATCTTCCGGATCAATCTACGTAGTGACGTATTTTATATAAGTTATATATTCTATCGATATGAATTCTGAGGTTGGAATTGATTATTGTTTTAGGCGCCGATCGTCATGACGCCTTGGCGTATTGTGCTAGGGAGTTGTTGGATGAACTCCAGGTGAGTGGGCAGTTTTGTTTTCCGAATATATATATATACTTGACGTTTCCCAGAAATTGAATTGAAATGAAAATATGTTTAAAATGAAATGCATATGAGTTATGTGGAAAAACGGGAAGTGAAATACCATGCATAGAATTGATATGAAAAGTATATAGAAATGTGAGTTGAAATGCCATGCATGAATTAATATATGATGCATATGTATGAATTGGTGCGGTGGACGCACAAGTAAGAATTGATTTATGATGCATATGTATGAATTGGTGCGGTGGACGCACAAGTAAGAATTGATTTATGATGCATATGTATGAAATGGTGCGGTGGACGCACAGGTGAGTATTTAATTACTGTTATGATGATGATGATATATATTGAGCTCAAATCCTGCACCATGGTTTAGTGCTTATAGTATTCACCGCATCGCACGCTCGCCTTGGATCCAAGTAGATGCTAGTCGTACAGTCCACGCGGAGTGGGTACGACAGACCAGTCGCGAGAGTGTTAGTGAGATTCCGACTGGTGGGTGACCTTAGATTATGTGCACAGATGATTTATGAGAAGCACTAGAGCGTAACTTGTGTGCAGAAGGCCGGACGGGTCACAGAGGTGACTCCGGTAGAGTGATAAATGATAGATTTTGAGCTCTAGGTTCAACCGTACAGGGCTATTAGAGGGCCTACGGTTGATTACTTTCTTGCACCTGATATGATTATGTTGATGCATTCATACCTTATTACTGTTGAGATGATGTGGCATGGCATAATTAATATGAGAAAATGTTGAGATGACATGGTATGGCATGATTGATAAAGAGATAATGTTGAGATAGTAAAAATGAAGTTTTGAGAATATATATATGTATATTTATATTTTACATTTCTGGGAAAGTATACAGGTTTTACGGAGAGGGGTTACAACGTTTTGAGAAATGTTTGGATTTGGAAAAGAATTGTTTTACTGACCCACTCAATTTTGGTTTTGCGCCCCTCCAGGTTCAGGAATCACAAAGGTGTGGTGACTACGAGGAATTCGACGGTGTTCTGACAGATTGGACAAAATTAGGACTCACCTTCGGGTGTATCAATTTAAATTGTATCTTAAAGCTTCCGTACTGTGCAAATGGTTACGTCACTCTCACGTGACGGCCAGCATGCCCTCCTTCGGGACGGGGTGTGTCAAATATACCATATGTAATTTTTCTATTATTGATTAAATATACAATGTCACGTGACGGTATACACATGGGTACAAACACAAATAAAACTTTAAAAAATATGGGCGCAAAAAGAAACTAATATATGGGTACAAATTAAAAATGAAAAAAAAATTGATACAAATTAAAAATAGGTACAAACTAAAAATAAAAATATATGATAAAATTTTTAGCCATAAATATAAATATACTAATTGTAACATTTTTAACACTAAAGGAATATATTTAAAAATAAAAATATTTTATTATTCAAATAATTAATGATGTTATTAATACCCAAGAACCTTGATCAAAAATTGAAAATGAATAAGATTTTAATCAATGGAATAGCAAAAAAAAGGATATAAACCTAATTTCTCCAAAAAACAATATATCCTACAAAACAGTCGCAAACAACTATTTGTGACTGTAACACAACATATTAAAATTTTGTAATGTACATGTACTTGTATTTCAAGGAGCTATTATTGCCACTTTAATTCTTATGCAAAATCATCATACAGTAATCCCTGCTTGTAGAAAAAAAACAAAAGCAAAAAAGTGTGTGATTCGAATGTCGCCAACAAATTCCCTATTTGAAATCTAAATCTAAAATCATTGAACTTATAATACCGCGTAACCATCATACTTCGAGGATAGTATACTATATACACACTTATTTTTTTATGTCTTATGCATCCTTTTTAATTTTTGGCCATTGATCTTCTTCAATTTATTCGATCTGACGGTTAGAAATTGAGAAGAGTGTGTGAGAAGTAAAAATGAGCGTGAATAACACTACCCTACTTAAAAATTACTTGGAGAAGGCCAGCCTGGCAGATGCTAAGGATGATCTCATGGGTCTTATAATTTTATTTTGCAAACTAACAAAAAGAAAAAGACAGGATGAAGATATATGTTCTTTGTAGTAAAGTTTGCCGCATACAGAGTTCGGCTGGCTTAGTGGAAATTTCGCTTCCACTTTGGGCAAAAAGTTTGGTTAGCTTTCCTAATCAACTATGATCAAGAAATCAGAGATTATACTATATTAGGGCATTTGGAAGATGCAAATTTGAGATGCAAAAAATACATTTACATCTCACTTTACATTTTTAAGAGATGTATAATTTAGTTCTATTCTAATGAGAGAGATGAAAATTTGGGATTCCATTTATCTTTCTCTCTTTAACTACGAAGCTCACATCCAAAAGATGTTAAAAAATATGTAAATTTTCATTTTATTTACATCTTTTGGCCAATATTGGTGTTTTACAGATCTCTCGTTGGAGATCAAAGCATATAAACGTCCATTTCAAAGCATTTTGCACCTTTCATTGGAGATGCTCTTATATATTAATTAGAAATCAATATTGTCATAAGAAGATTTTGCCAGTGCTAAAACCTTAAAGCAAGCGTTATAAGAGGTGGATTATTTATTTTGGTGTAACTATTTTTTTTCTTCTGCAGCTTAATCTGATAGTAGCGACATAAACGTACGTAGTGATTAAGAAACCTTGGTAGCTAGCTAGCTAACAGCCTGTGCCAACTTGCTTAATTAGAATTAAAATCTTCTTAATCTGGTTATGGTTATATATAATCATGACTAGAGAAATTTGTACGTAGGCAGTAATCAAAACCTACTCCACTCCACTTGCATGGAAGAATTAAATACTGAAAACCCTAAATATTAATTAAATAAATATAACGAAAAAAATGCATGCAAGTTTTAGTTCCTTAGTTCGTAACAAACTGATCAAGTACTAGCTAGTGATAAATTAATACGCAAATTATATTATTAATTAACTTCATTGTTCACTTTCCATCATTTGGTTACATGCACAAATTAAATTGGTATGTATATATGTGTAGGGACCCAAATACTAGACAAGGTTCTTTCTAAACAATATATTAGGAATTAGTGATCAATAATGGTGACAATAATCACATCTAGAGTATACAGCTACCAAAGTCAACTTTATTTTGCTGAAGAATACGCAATTTCAAATCGAAAACTTGAATAAACTACAACGTAATTTTAAATGGTTTCACTGTTAATTGCATTAAGACATTTTTATAATAAAACTCAACATCGATGGAACTGTGCAATTAGTGAAGTTGGACAATATCGATTTGATTGTATTGTAGTGTGCCAGGCTGCACAGGTAATTAAGTTGAAACCAAATTGATTTAATTATTAGTCAGCCTCTAACCGAACACTGAAATGAAAGCTTTTACATATTCCCCTAACAAGTCATAAGGTGACACGAAACTAAAGGCCCTATATATTGTATTATTGTGTATATATAAGTAACCAAGCTAACTGGTAACATGCGTACAAATCTCTCTAGATTCTCTAATACCTCTCTTTTAAGCATGTTTACAATACTGAGTTCCTCCAATGGAGAAGATAGAAGCAAAACTCACACTTTCTTTCTAACCATGTCCTTGATCATAGAAATCTCACTACTATCAGCAGAAGCTAATCAGGCTTCTTCACCATCCCATTTCTCCAAATTCTCCAGAGTAGGACCATCCAAAGTAGCCAACAATATTGTATCTTTTTGCAAACATACCCCTCACCAAGCAGCTTGTGAATCCATTTTCATCTCCAAAACAAGTAATAGTACTACAATTACTAAACCACCCCCTCAAACCCTTGAAGGCCTCTTTGTCCACTCAGTCGACTTCAGCATTATAAAGGCTCGTTTGGCTTCCGCTCTTACCTATAATCTTACCATTTCCCATCGTCAAACCTCTCATCAAACACACTCGCTTGGAGGCATCAACGACTGCCTCGAGCTGCTCGAGGACAGTATCGATTTACTCGATAATGTCATACTCAAATACGACAGTACCAAAAGCGCCTATGGCCACACTGACGACGATATCCAAAGTTGGCTCAGTGCTGCTCTTACCAATCAAGAAACTTGTCTAGACAGCCTTGAGAGTGATAAGTCTGTGGTAGACAAGGGCGCTATGGAGACTTCAGCTCAAAATATGAACCAATTCATAAGTAACTCCCTGTCACTTTTCATGCTCACTAGTAGGTCACCAAAGCAGGCCCAAAACAAAAACCCTAGTAACATTGTCGGTGGCCGGAGGCTGTTGTCGGATGATTTTCCGAGTTGGGTGTCCGGCGCTGAGAGAAAGCTTCTAGAAGCTTCTGTGGGTGACTTAGAAGCACATACTGTGGTGGCTTTGGATGGGAGTGGTACGCACAAGAGTATCGGTGAAGCACTTGGGTTGGTGGCCTCATTGGCTGAGAGTGGAGGAGGTGGCAGATCTGTAATTCATGTAAAAGCTGGGACTTATCATGAATATATTAAAATACCAACGAAGCAGAAGAACGTTATGTTAATTGGTGATGGTTTGGGGACGACGATTATTGTCGGCGATAGGAACTCTGATGATGGTTGGACCACTTTCCAGTCTGCCACAGTTGGTAAGAACATATCAAATTTCCCTCTTTTTTAGGTTTTTTTTTGCTTCTAATTAATAAGAGAATTTCCTCTTCTTTATTTATTTATTTAAAATATATGGCTTTTTTATTTTGTCAAATTATAAAATATGTAAACTACCTGTTAACAAAAAAAATTTTATTATAAAAAATGGTGAAAAGATAATTTGGTTCTATATCAAAAAATAAAATCATAACAAGTAATGTGTGGTTCAAGTTCAAAACTTTCCCCTCTTTAATTATTGTGATCTTTTTGAACTTCCTTAATAATAATAACTTTTGTAAAAAAAAAAATCAAAACTGTTAGAGAAAAACTAATATTTAGTGACTGGTTCTATTCTCACTCACCAAAATTATTTACAAAACTTAGTTTTAAAAGAAAATTATTATGATTTTATACTCGTTGAAAGATAATATTAAAAATAAAATTATAAAGAAAAAATTATAGGGTTTGCTACCACTCATCTTATTAGAACCTTTCTTTGACAATTCAGATTAACTGGTCTGTCCGTGAGGATTTTTCATTGTGACAGGAACACGGGTGGTACACCACGTGTTTTTATGCAAGTGGTGGGAAATTTTATTTTTTAAGTTATTAACTTTTTAACACATATATCTCACTATTTGTATAGTGACACGTGATGTACCATTCCATGTGCCGATCACACTTAAAAATCTCTCGTTTGCGAGGGAGCAACGGTCTCAATCGTAGCTCCCACATTACAGTGGGAGACCAATCAATGTTAGTTAGTCAGCTAAAATATTACATCTAATCATTTTCTTTATCATCATTTATAAATTACATTTGCAAAAAATCATTCAATTTGATATCATTTAGTTATCCATATGTGTGTAAACTAATCAATGATTTTGATAACAAGTAGCATCGTTGTGATGAACTGTCAATTTGTTTGATGCATATGAACAATTTCGATTATGAAGTCTGTACGTCAAATATACATTAATCATAAATGGAGGATGAGAAGATTCTCTATGGAGGAAAAACAAGCATTATTATCCATAAAAAAAAAAGAAAAGGGTAAAAGACTGTTTACTACCCTCATGTTTCGTGGTTTTCAACATTTAGTACATCAAATTTTTTTCATCCCAGAGTCATACCTAAAGTGTAAATTTTGGTACAGTCTCATACATCCGTTAGTCAAACTATTAAGTCTCCCGTTAATTGTGACATGACGTCCATGTGGATAATGACTGGGCGTCACGTGTCATCCACATGGAAATTAAAAATAAATTATTTATTAAATAAATAAATATAATTATATATATATTTAAAAAAAAAACCTTCATCTTCCCCGCACCCTTACCCTCTCCCTCCCTTCTTCTTCTTCTTCCTCTGGGTTGCAAATTCAATTTTTTGTTTTTGTTTTTTTTTTCCTTCTTCTTCTTCTTCTTCCTCTTCCTCCTTCTTCTTCCTCCTCCTTTTTTCTGGGTTGCAGATTCGTTTTGTTTTTTTTTGTTTTTTGTTTTCCTTCTTCTTCATCCTCCTCCTTCTTCTGGGTTGCAGATTCATTTTTTTCTTTTCCTTCTTCTTCTTCTTCTTCTGGGTTGCAGATTCGGCTTTTTGGGTTTTTTCCTTCTTCTTCTTCTTCATCCTCCTTCTTCTGGGTTGCAGACTCATTTTTTGTTTTTTTTTCCTTCTTCTTCTTGTTCCTCCTTCTTCTAGTTTGCAGATTCGGCTTTTTGTTTTTTTTTGTTCTTCCTCCTTCTTCTGGGTTGGCGGCGGGGGGGGGGGGGGAGGGATGGTTTTTTTTAATTAATTATTTTAATATTTTTAATGACACATGGTGCCCAGTCATTGTCCACATGGGCGCCACGTCATCACTAAACGGGAGAATTAATCGTTGGACTACCGGATGTATGAGACTGTCCCAAAATTAACACTTTAGGTATGACTCTGGGACGAAAAAAACTTGATGTACTAAATGTTGAAAACCACGAAACATGAGGGTAGTAAACAATCTTTTACCCAAAAAAAAAAGACAAGAAAATATAAAAAGGGCAGTTCATCACATGTCTATACACTAACATCAACATCAACATCAAATAGAAAAGAAATGAAATCACAAAAAGGAATGGTTGGTTCTATTAAAATTCTTTCTTTTCTTGCTTAAATCCACCACCTTCCTTCGATATCCATTTTCCTAAATTATAATGTTAGACGTGATGCTCATAAGGATGATCAAGGTTTTAATTTCGTGTTTCGTATTTTTTTTGGCAAATAGAGTTGGAAGGAAAATTTTCTCTTACCTAATAAAAATTGCATGTCCTCATGGCACATAACATAAGAACAACCCTGTTTTCAGCTGCTATGGGAGACGGATTTATAGCTCGTGACATAACATTTATGAACAGCGCCGATCCATCAAAGCACCAAGCAGTTGCCCTTCTGGTCGGCGCGGATAAGTCAGTGATTTTTAGATGCTCCGTCATTGGCTACCAAGACACCCTCTACACTCATTCCAAGCGCCAGTTCTACAGAGACACCCAAATCTACGGAACAGTTGATTTCATATTTGGAAACTCAGCAGCAGTTTTCCAAAATTGCAACATTTACGCAAGAAAACCCTTTTCGACCGGTCTCAAAAACTTTGTCACAGCACAAGGCAGAACTAGCCCGGATCAGAACACTGGAATTTCGATTCACAACTGCAAAATTTCGGCTGCTTCGGACCTTGCTCCGGTGAAATCCAAGTACGAGACGTATCTTGGGAGGCCATGGATGCAGTATTCAAGAACAGTTATCATGCAGTCTTACTTGGATGACTCAATCAGTAAGGCTGGTTGGTCACCTTGGTCAGGTGGGTTTGCTTTAAATACATTGTATTATGGTGAGTATTCAAATTATGGGCCTGGGGCTTCAACTTCGGGTCGGGTCCAGTGGCCAGGGTATCATGCATCACTTACACCGGTTGCTGCACAAGCCTTCACTGTTAGTGGTTTCATCTCTGGGAACCTTTGGTTGCCTTCCACTGGGGTTTCTTTTGATCCGGGACTCATTAAATGATTGCAATAGCGGTTTTCGCACTCTCAATTTAGCTTCTGACACTTCGGTTGTGATTGTAAAACTTTAGGACTCTCAGGTTTCCAGCTCAGAATTTGCATACCCATCAACTGATAGGTTGCAAGTATTTATAATAATCTTGATATTACATCAGGGGTTTATCATCCCTATTTACACGGCAATTTTTGAATTTGAATAATACAACATCTGTGAAAACAAACTTTAAAACATTTAAAATAATCTAGACCTATCAGAGTTATCCTTGGATAAGGACTGCATTCCTAGATAACAGACTTTAGAGTTTAAACATGAGCTGAATTCTTGATAACTCTGACTTGGTCTAATAGTGATGTGAACGTACAAAGTATATAACATACTCAATTTAAATGCGAGAAGCTAAACTAAGAGTGCCAAAATCACTACCTTTTGAAGGCATTGTGCATTTGTATAAAGTTGTATTTGTGTTTGGTTAGATGTGATCTAAAACCAAAGGGCTTATGTGATCGCAGGCCTATTGTAGTTATGTTGAGTGATCTTAGTGTTTTGGGCATTCGATCCCCTTGAAACAAGCAATAGTTGTGTTACTATACTTTAAGTTTAAAAATCCAGTTGAATAGATTAGTGACTTATGTAACTTGTGTTGCTTTTGGTGAATGCAAATTCACTTACGAATAACAACGGTCTTCATTCTTATAAATTTTACAATTAGAACTGTTACATAATAGGAGTCTAAATTGTGGGTGCAAAGAAATTTCTCAATAACCAAAATGACAATTTCCTCAATGTTGTGAAATCTTTAGATAAATGTCTTATATTTACAGTACGAGTAAGTACAAATATATGTGTGTTATGTAATATGAATCCTCCACTAATCACCATTTATCAATCTTAATCTAGAGTTTACAAATAAATTAGTGGTGTCTAGGGACCAATAATTCCATAAACAAAACTACAAACAATCCAATAAACAATTTGTAATATATATTGATGCTAACCTAGTTTTTAATACAAAAAAAAAAAAAAAATCACATAACAAGTATAAACTTAAAGATTTGACTCCCCCGGTTTATATTATAAACGGCAATTAGAACTGTTACATAATAGGAGTCCAAATTGTGGGTGCAAAAAAAAAATCTCAATAACTGAAACGACAATTTCCTCAATGTTGTGAAATCTTTAGATAAACATCTTATATTTTCGGTACGAGTAATATAGATATATGTGTGTTGTGATTAATGAATCCTCCACTAATCACCATTTGTCAATCTTAATCTAGAGTTGATAAATAAATTAGTGGTGACTAGGGACCAATAATTCCATAAACAAAACTACTAATATATAACATACTCAATTTAAATGCGAGAAGCTAAACTGAGAGTGCCAAAATCACTACCTTTTGAAGGCGTTGTGCATTTGTATAAAGTTGTATTTGTGTTTGGTTAGATGTGATTTGAAACCAAAGGGCTTATGTGATCGCAAGCCTATTGTAGTTATGTTGTGTGATCTTAGTGTTTTGGGCCTTCGATCCCCTGAAACAAGCAATAGTTGTGTTACTATTCTTTAAGTTTAAAAATCCAGTTGAATAGATTAGTGGCTTATGTAACTTGTGTTGCTTTTGGTGAATGCAAATTCACTTACGAATAACAATGGTCTTCATCGTATAAATTTTACAATTAGAACTGTTACATAATAGGAGTCTAAATTGTGGGTGCAAAGAAATTTCTCAATAACCAAAATGACAATTTCCTCAATGTTGTGAAATCTTTAGATAAATGTCTTATATTTACGGTATGAGTAAGTACATTTATATGTGTGTTGTGATTAATGAATCCTCCACTAATCACCATTTGTCAATCTTAATCTAGAGTTTACAAATAAATTAGTGTTGACTAGGGACCAATAATTCCATAAACAAAACTACAAACAATCCAATAAACAATTTGTAATATATATTGATGCTAACCTAGTTTTTAATACAAAAAAATAAAATAAAATAAAATAAAATAAAATCACATAAAAAATATAAACTTAAAGATTTGATTCCACCGGCGTATATTATAAACGACAATTAGAACTGTTAGATAATAGGAGTCTAAATTGTGGGTGCAAAAAAATTTCTCAATATCTGAAACGATAATTTCCTCAATGTTGTAAAATCTTTAGATAAACATCTTATATTTTCGGTATGAGTAAGTATAGATATATGTGTGTTGTGATTAATGAATCCTCCACTAATCACCATTTGTCAATCTTAATCTAGAGTTTATAAATAAATTAGTGGTGACTAGGGACCAATAATTCCATAAACAAAACTACAAAGTATATAACATACTCAATTTAAATGCAATAAGCTAAACTGAGAGTGCCAAAATCACTACCTTTTGAAGGCGTTGTGCATTTGTATAAAGTTGTATTTGTGTTTGGTTAGATGTGATCTGAAACCAAAGGGCTTATGTGATCACAGGCCTATTGTAGTTATGTTGTGTGATCTTAGTGTTTTGAGCCTTCGATCCCCTTGAAACAAGCAATAGTTGTATTACTATTCTTTAAGTTTAAAAATCCAATTGAATAGATTAGTGGCTTATGTAACTTGTGTTGCTTTTGGTGAATGCAAATTCACTTACGAGTAACAACGGTCTTCCTCGTATAAATTTTACAATTAGAAATGTTACATAATAGGAGTCTAAATTGTGGGTGCAAAGAAATTTCTAGACCTAACATTCGTGTCGTTTTCATGTCATACCTGATATCTTAACGGGTCGTGTCGTGTAACACCCGTTAAAATAAACGGGTAAAATGACCCGACCTGAAATCAACCTGATAATATTAACAGGTAATATGACCCGACCTGTTACCCATTAAGGAAAATATATTTTAAACCAATAAATAATCAAATGAAAAACATAATACTAAATAAGTATATACATACCATATTGTCACATCCAAAACATAAAAACGCAATTTTCTTTTAAGTATATTTTTGCTTACCTAAATTGATCAAATGGTAAAATTGGAAAATATTAGAATAGAGAAGGGGTTTTTTCGTCCAAAAAAGTTTTTATAATATAAGTGAAATAGAATCCAAAGGTACATATTTACTCTCATTTATCTTACGGCTGTTATTTAAGTAAAGTCTTTAATAGTTTTTTAATTAATGTAGAAGTGTAAAAAATATATAAACACTTGTAATGACAAGCTTTACAACTTTAATGAAAAGCTTAACTTTGAAATTCGCCACAATAATCATATAAATCATAGATCGAAATTTAATCGTTGATTGTTGTTTACATTTACGCTTCATTGTTCTCATCAAATTTTGATTTTGAAAACATGATCTATTGGAGGATGCAGGAAGATGAATGGTTTGGATCGTTGATATTATATTCAGAGTTTTATGGTTAGTGAAAATATTGCTTGATGTTTATAAAGTTTCTACAAACTATATGACATCGACTCATATTTCAATTAACCGTAAATATCGAAACATGATATCAAATATCTGAACTATTCATATTCTTACATCTGCTAGATGATCATGTTTTCAAAAAAGAAAATTTAAAAATGAAATTCAGTAAGAAGAATAAAGCATAAATGACAATCGACAATTAAATATAAATTTAAGGTTTATGGATTATAGTGTTGGATTTCGAAGCTGACCCCTTCATGAAAGTTGTAAAGCTTGTCACTATGAGTGATTGTATATTTTTTTTTTACATTTTTTACACTTGTACAATAATTATTCTTGATTTTATTAATTTTGCCCTCGAATAAAAAACATTATTCATGAGGGTTTGGAGGATTTTAAAAATCTAAACGATAATGTAAGTGTAACCATTATCTACTCGTGGAGGAATAATGATGAATCACGAGTATTTATATATTTTTTCACATTTTTCATACTTGTATGTATGTCTTCTTAGTTCTCACCTACACAAATACTATACTAGTTTATTTTAATTTTGGACAACAACATGTTAAGTAAAATTTATCCTAGTAATGATAATAAGGAACTCTCATAATTAAAATAAATAATGACAAAAACTTTTTTTTTTTTTAAACTTATATCGAATAATAATACAAAACTATATATTTAATATAGAATATATTGTATATATTAATATGGCTATTGTATTTTATAATAAATCTTTTAGTAATTAAACTTTAAAATGATCAGCATAATTTTTTCCTTAATGGGTCGAAATGGGTTACCCACGTGTTACCCTCGTGTATACCCGTTAAGAGCGCGTTATTCGGGTCACCCGATAATGACCCGATTAGTTATCGCGTTGACCCGAAACCCGTTATTTTCGTGCCGTGTCAGAAACTGCTAGGTCTAGAAATTTCTCAATAACCAAAATGACAATTTCCTCAATGTTGTGAAATCTTTAGATAAATGTCTTATATTTATGGTACGAGTAAGTATATATATTTGTGTTGTAATTAATGAATCCTCCACTAATCACCATTTGTCAATCTTAATATAGAGTTTACAAATAAATTAGTGGTGACTAGGGACCAATAATTCCATAAACAAAACTACAAACAATCCAATAAACAATTTGTAATATATATTAATGCTAACCTAGTTTTTAATACAAAAAAAAAATCACATAAAAAATATAAACTTAAAGATATGACTCCCCCAACGCATATTATAAATGGCAATTACAACTGTTACATAATAGGAGTCCAAATTGTGGGTGCAAAAAAAATTCTCAATAACCGAAACGACAATTTCCTCAATGTTGTGAAATCTTTAGATAAATATCTTATATTTTCGGTACGAGTAAGTATAGATATATGTGTGTTGTGATTAATGAATCATCCACTAATCACCATTTGTCAATCTTAATCTAGAGTTTATAAATAAGTTAGTGGTGACTAAGGACAAATAATTCCATAAACAAAACTACAAAGTATATAACATACTCAATTTAAATGCGAGAAGCTAAACTGAGAGTGCCAAAATCACTACCTTTTGAAGGCGTTGTGCATTTGTATAAAGTTGTATTTGTGTTTGGTTAGATGTGATGTGATTTGAAACCAAAAGGCTTATTTGATCGCAGACCTATTGTAGGTATGTTGTGTGATCTTAGGGTTTTGGGCCTTCGATCCCCTTGAAACAAGCAATAGAATTGTGTTACTATTCTTTAAGTTTAAAAATCCAGTTGAATAGATTAGTAGCTTATGTAACTTGTGTCTCTTTTGGTGAATGCAAATTCACTTACGAATAACAACGGTCTTCATCGTATAAATTTTACAATTAGAATTGTTACATAATAAGAGTCTGAATTGTGGGTGCAAAGAAATTTCTCAATAGCCAAAACGACAATTTCCTCAATGTTGTGAAATCTTTATTTAAATGTCTTATATTTACGGTACGAGTAAGTACATATATATGTGTGTTGTGATTAATGAATCTCCACTAATCACCATTTGTCATTCTTAATCTAGAGTTTACAAATAAATTAATGGTGATTAGGGACCAATAATTCCATAAACAATTTGTAATATATATTGATTGATGCTAACTTAGTTTTTAATACAAAAAAAAAAATCACATAAAAAATATAAACTTAAAGATTTGATTCCGCCGGTGTATATTATAAACGACAATTAGAGCTGTTAAATAATAGGAGTCTAAATTGTGGGTGCAAAAAAATTTCTCAAGAACTGAAACGACAATTTCCTTAATGTTGTGAAATCTTTAGATAAATGTCTTATATTTTCAATATGAATAAGTACATATATAAGTGTGTTGTGATTAATGAATCCTCCACTAATCACCATTTGTCAATCTTAATCTAAAGTTTATAAATTAATTTGTGGTTACTAGGGACCAATAATTCCATAAACAAAACTACAAACAATCCAATAAACAATTTGCATAGTTGATGAGGACCTAGTTTTTAATACAAAAAATAAATAAAATCACATAAAAATATAAACTTAAAGATTTTATTCCGCCGGCATATATTATAAACGACAATACTTGAGTCCTGATTGATAGAACGTGGCACCATAAAAGGGGGACACGTGTCTTTTTAACTCTCCAAATACCTAACCAACCTTGCATTCTTTGTTTTGATATCAACCAGAAAGAAAAAAACTGAAAACTTCCTGTCAAAAAGGGAAAAAAGAGGAAGAAAGGAAGGTAAGGATGGAAAGCCAAGACCAAGAGCACATTGTGATGCTGCCATTCATGGCTCAAGGCCATCTAATATCATTCCTGCAACTGGCAAGAAATCTCCAACAGAGAAAAAGCTTGATCACTGTCACCGTCGCAAGCACCGCACTCAACTTCCAATACCTCCACACAACGATCGCCTCCAACTCAAGCTCTCAATCTGACTCCAACATCCGTTTGGCTAAGCTCTCATTCTGCAGCACAGACCACGGCTTGCCCCCGTACGGCGAGAACACGGAGAACTTGCCTCTCAGCAAAATAGGAAACCTAGGCGCTGCATCAACGAGTCTTGAATCTCCTACTCACCGCTTTATCTCTGATATCATCGAAAAAGAAGGTCGCCCGCCGCTCTGTATTATCTCTGATATGTACTTTGGATGGGGCTGCTAATCTTGCAAACAGCTTTGGAACTGCGCTTGTGACTTTCACCACAGGTGGTGCCTATGGCACTGCAGCTTTTGTGTCTATTTGGCTTAACCTCCCACACCGTTCTATAGCTTCGGATGAGTTCCCGGTGCTGGGGTTTCATGAGAGTTACCGCTTCCATATCTCTCAGCTGAATCCATACTTAAGAGCTGCAGATGGTACTGACTTCGGATCAAGAAATTTTTAACCTCAGCTTTCGCTTTCTACGAAATCTTTTGGTTGGTTGTGTAGTACTGTTGAGGAGATTGAGCCATTTGGATTTAAGATCTTGAGGAACTACTTGGGGTGTCCTGTATGGTCCATCGGACCACTTCTTCCTTTAGAAGCACTCAACAAATCATCTACGTTGGCCTCAAGTGTTTCTAGGAAAA